AGAACTCCTAGGACTAAGAATAGAGTTTTCTCCCACACAGAATGCTGCACAAATATTCAAGGGTTTGATTCACAGTACTCTTTGAAGCAGGAAGGAACTGGGACCCTCCCTAGCCTCCACGTAGAGTATGCACAGGAGAGTTGTCTGGATGATGCTGTTCACTGCAACTGGGGGGAACCTTGCCCTGGCCCCAGGGCCACAGAGCTTCTGGACTAAGGATGACAAATTCATGGCACAACAAGGTTTTCCTTGGGCCAGCCAGTGCACTGGGCATCTCCACAGCAATACAGTGCCTCCCAAAGCCAGGGACAGCACTGGGAAAGGGTATTTAGATGCTTGGGTGGCCAGTCAGGCGAGGGGCAACCCTGCCTGACACAGCTGTGCAAAGTGTGTCCCTCTGGAGCTAAACCTCCAGCAGATCCCACTCATTGCCTTCATCAGGTCTGGCAGCAAGGATGTCACACAGAAGCAAAGCAACACACTTGAAGTTTACTCAAACTAAATCGTTTAGCTTCCCTTCAAGAAATTACTGAAAATGCACAAGTCTGGAAAATCAAGTCTGAGAACACTGCTCTGCATTTTGTATAAACTGATCCTTTACAAGACATGGTGGTAATGCCCGTTGGTGGGTCTGCTATGGCAGAGATGTAGACTCTCATGAATAGAGGTTTTGTAACTGCAATAGAAAAATTGTAAATAAATGATGCATGTGCATGATTTTCTGTTTGGATTGCACTGAAGGAAGGGGGATCGAGGCAGCAACCTAGATTTACTGAGCTACCTCAGTCAACCCAGGGCACAATCCACCACATGATTCCATAACCCAATTGTGAAAGCTCAGCAACTTGGTTCCTGCTTGTTGCTTGACAATTTTGAGGTGTTTGTATCTGTGCCAGCCATCTCTGCCTCACTTAGCTTCTGCCCCCAGAATATGTGTAGATCAGACTATGTGTTTACAAAAAGTTCCATCATGATTTCAGGAGCAGTGGCAGCCTCTCATATACTGGAAATAATTCTTCAAGTTTGGCCATAAGAAACCTGATACAATGTGCTTGAGAGGAAATGAGATTGTCTGATATACATGCAGGAAACTCATTTTGTCTGTGCCAGACTCAGCTGCTACTAAAGCCCATATTTTTGAGGTAAAAAGATATGAGTCAGTGTGGTGGAGAGCACAGTAACATCCCCAAGTTCAGTTTCTGCTTTGCTGCACTCATTCTACTAAGCTGCAGAATGGATTCTGAGTGTTCAAACACATAGGGTGTGAACTGCAGCAGAAATGTGTAAAAACTTCAGTTAACTGGGATGTGAAAAGACAAGGAATGTTTTTTGGCAAAATACACCTCTAAATATATATTTAAAGCATCAAAGAAACCATAAAGAAGATAAACATGAAGACAAAGAGGAAGAGGAAGAAGAAGGAGGAGGAGGAAGAGGAGGAGGAGGAGGAAAAGAAAGAAAAACAAAAGTAATGCCAATGTGTGGGGTTTTGTCTCCAATGCTTCAGCCTCATTTAGAAAGGAACGGATCAAAATTTAAAGAATGGAATTGTCACTGTGGAAAATGGACTTTGCCCCAAGGCACTGATCCTGTGTCTCACCCGCTATGAATGTCCAATCCAAGGCAGAGCCTGGAGCCTGGTGGAGGCTGAGGCCAGGACCCAGGAGTTGAGGCCCCTGGGGCTGAGGTGGCAGAGTTTTTGCTGCACCCTCGTGGCTCTGCCTTATTGGGCCTGCAGGGCTGCAACATGCATGCAGTGGTGGAAATGGGTGTAAGGCAAGAGGTGCTGGGCTCCTCTGCATGTTGCACACTCCCGGCTTGGCCTGAGGACAGGAAGATTCAAGTCCTCCTTGCTGGAAAAAGAGACTCTGAAGAAGATTCTGGGTGTCATCTACCAGACACAGATGAACACAGTGACTTCTCAGGTAAGGAGGGCAGGACACCCACCAGAGCGGGATCCGCATGGATTCATGTGTTGGGGGTTTAAAAGTTAGTCGTGAATGATGAGTTTCCTTTGTGAATAAAAAGACTCCTTATTTTATATATCTATAAAGTGAAGCTTGAATGTTCTTCTATATGCGTATCCTACATTACATACAAAAAAGAGTATTAAGTCACCCATTTCTACTCACCTATTAAAGAAAATAACAACTATTCTTAAGTGAATTGAACAGAAGAGAAGTAATATTGAATGGAGCACTATAAATAATGCATTGGAAAATAAAATGGAAAAACCACAAAGGCATCCCTACCAGGATGAGAGGTCTGCCCTTGACCAGCTTCTCTCTCCTGTCCTCAACAGCTGTGCAGGTCTGTGTCTCTTCACTGCTGGGTGGAGAGAGAGCCAGGACACAAGCTCTCTTCCATCTCAGGAAAGATCAGGGACATGGCCTTCTTTCAGCATTTTTCACTGGCTGTAATTTATAATTAACTCAGCAGCTGTGCTGTGGAACATTCATGGTTTCTAACTGTCCACACCTTAACTGATTAAGAAGTGAATATGGTGGCGTCTATCAATCTCATTTTTTAGAATGACCCTTAGAAGTGGAATTTCCAGGTTAAATGTATATAAGATGAATTTGAGGGTCGCAGATATTCCACTTGAATCCTCAGCATAGAGTTAGAGACTGGTAGAGGAAGACTGAGTCTGCTCAATTCTCTGTGGAGATCTGAAGTCAGAGAGATGGTCCAGGAAGAGGAGGAGGACACCATATCACCTAGCAGGAACCATGGCTAAAAAAGGCCCAGTCCAGGCTGCCTCATCCATCAGTGAGTTCTAAGGAAAGTGTCACACATTCCACACTGGACAGGAGAGAGCTGGAATGGTTTCAGATCTCCTCCCTACAAGCTTCAGGCCACCTGTGTCACTCAGGGGAGCTATGTATGAGGTCAATCTGTTTCAGAGCCCAACTTGACTAAATGTTTTCCACCCAGGTGCAGATCTGAACTGCCACATGTGGGCTCACCATAGCTATGGAGCAGGACAGGTAGTTTACAGGGAGCAGGTCAGGAGATGGGGACACTGCAGGCAGGTGAGGGTATAAAGCCTTAAATAAGAGACCAGGCCTTCACCAGGCCCAGTTTCCTTCAGCAGTAACCACACCATGCAAGAATGTGCATTAAATCTGAATAACTGAAAGGAGTTACTCACAAAATTATATATTATAGAGATAGTTTGAAGATACAAAAGTAAATGGGAGCATCCGTAAGTAAAATGAGATGTGACCTTTAATGGATATGTGGTGTCCATTGATGTCCCCGAACCACATGCATCAGAAGGAAATAGTCTGATGAACAGAGCAATAAGGAGCACAGGCAATGTGTAAACATCACAGCTGCTTAACAACAACAACAAAGCTGGGATACAATAAGTGCACTGGTGAATTTTATCCAGTATATAATAAAGAATAAATACTGATTGTTTTTCAATTATTTGATCAAGTTGAAGGAAAACCCACCACCAACTTCTTTTAAGTGACAAAGTTAAAGTTATCCTGAGAATGAAGCCAGATAATAATGTGTTAAAAATAATATAAATGAAAACACTCTGTTGGCTAATATTCCTACCAAACATACACAAATGTGTTCAGCTAAATGTTTGCAATGTTAACTCACCAGCATATTCAAAATTAACCAACATGATCAACACTGGGCTCAATCTCAGTGGTGCCAGAATGGTCCTTCTCTAACAAACTATCTGTTTCCACTGGTTTTAACAAAAATATGCGATAGTATAAAGAAAAATTTTTATAGGCAAGGAGATAATATAGAAACCATTGTTCATTTTCTGTTAACTGGTTCTAAATACCCTGTAATTCCTTCATTCTGTTGAATGGCTTCACACTGTCTTGATATGCTTGATGCTATCGTATACAAAGTTAGACTCAAATAATTCAAGGAATGAGGCACTATGGTGACTACTATTATGTTAGATTATCTGAAACTGAAATATAATTATGCTTAAATTGTTCCATTCTGACCAGTGTTGTTCTATTACAATGTCCTATTTTATCTCAATCTCCACCCTTTTTTAAAAATTAAACTATTTTTTTCAATTAAGGGAAAACTAAATTTAAAAATAGCGGGATATATTATAGTAACTATTTGTTTTCCTATTAACCTGATTTGAATGCCAGTATTGCTCTCCACATCTTGTTCTGCCTGATTTTACTATATACTATTTTGTTTGATAGTATCAAGTTTGAGGGTATAGGCAACCACTTTAAAGGGAATAAGATTTATTATGATGCCCATTATAGTTTGACTATTATCTTCTTTTGAAATCTTGCAAAGTCTCCAGTGTAGGTTTTATTGGTCTTGTTCTGTACTGTTTTGATCAATTCTATTATACCTGATGATATAGCAACTCTTTTTAAAAATAGCAAGAGGCACAATGGTAACCATTTTTGATCATCTGATATTCTATTTTTGCATCATGTACTATGCCCATCCTTCTGTTCTAACTGACTCTGTTTTATTTAGTCATGTTAGGATTTATTCTCTTCTAAAAAATTTAATAAGAACTGTGGGAGTAAAAAAGCTCAAAACATGTAATTGTTATTGTAAAAAAGAGAGGAAAGGAAGGTGGTCTAAGGGATATAACTGCATGTTTGAGTGTGTAAATGGAAAACCATATTACTGAGCTTTTGTTGGATCTCTGAATAGAACTTTCTGCAATCTCACTGTATGAATGTCCAATTTATATGCTTTAATTTTATAATTTGGACAACTGTTTCTAAGATGACAATATGTAACCTATTAACTAGTGATTTCTTACTGTATTTTTTCCTTGAAATTCTGTATTACTTATACCCTTTTACTGCTTTGTTTTTTATTTCCTTTCTTTTTTCTCTTTAATTAAAAAAATAATCAAACCTGGAATGGATATCTTTTATTTATTTATTTATTTTTGGCTCTGGAGATCAAACTCATGACCTCACACTTGCCAGCCAGGTGCTTAAGCCACTGAGCTAAATCCCCAGCCCACCAGTGGATATCTTTTACATCTTGCCATCTTCTGAGTAGTTGCCTCTGTTCTTGAACTTGATACCAGCAAGCTTACCAAATGTGAATAAAATCAGCCAAGGCCAAATAACATTGAAACAATCCAGCTTCAAAGAAGATCAGTCATAGAAGACAATGTAAGTAATATAGGGATTCAGTTTTAGTTAATAGGAAATTAAGGATAATTACCATGGTATAACCTGCTCGTTTTGCGTTATCCCTCTGTGACCTCAAATCTAATATGAGTAGACAGACCAGAACTAAATATAACCAAACTGAACAGAGCAACCAGACTACTGTAGCTTTTAAATCCTGATACACTTTTAACAATGTGCTCTGCCTTCTTTTTTTAGGCAATTCCTCACCTTTCTCCTTCTCAGGATACTATTATTCAATGTTCAGAGTGATATTAGTCCAATCTCTTATGTTCAATTTCAGCATACATAAAGATAAAGACAGCTACTACAAAGAGAATGAGAGACATTGTAGTAGTCATTATCGACTTCCCCAAAATCAGTCTTGAAGATCGAAAAAGCCTGCATCATCCTGTAATTATTTGATTAGTTCTATAATATTCAGTATATATTCAATGTGTGTGAAGATGGGAACAACTATTTGGAAGAAAACTAGAGACAGTAAAATAGACAGTGAACATTTCCAGTGGAATTGCTTTGAAATCTGTGTTTCCTTAACTTGTTTCCTTATGAAATGTTCTGCTCTGTTTTGCCATGTTTAATCTTACCCTCTTTAAGAAAAAAAAGTGTGTAGGACAGATAGGCATATTAGTAACTTTTTGGTGGATCACTGAGGTGAACTGTTGACAGTGTCATTATTTGAATATCACTTTGTATGCTTTAAATTTGTAATTTGAACAACTACTTCTAAGATAACAATATGATACTAAGCAACTAGTGATTTGTTATTGTTTATTTTTCTGCAATTATATATTATTTCTACACTTTTTTCTCTTTAAATAAACAACATTAAAATTCACCAAAAAATATAAAATTTAAGTTTTAAAGACAAAATATTAAGTACATAGACACTATCCATACTTGAAAGTGAAAAGCCCATTTCAGTTTAGCATTTTTAATTACAAGATGCCATGTTGAAGCACAAAAACACTTTTAAAAATCTAGAGAGGTACAAGTGATTAACTGAAAATCATAAAACATATGCAATTGAGTAGAGATCCACCTCAGATTTGTCATTTCTGGAATATTTGTGAAGAAATTTTGACATCTAACTTCTGTATTGATTATTTCTTCAGGTCTCCTTGGGATTTTTAAAGTAAACTTAGATCTAAACTGTCTGAACAGTGATGCTTTTTCTATGTATTTAACAAGAAACATGGATTGCCATATTTCTCACATTGTTAATCAACATAGCATCTCTGCCCAGTGAGCTCTTTCAGATATTTAACAATGATCATGTATGCTAAGAGTATTCACATAACACATAGGATTTATCTCTTGTGTGAGTTTTTTCATGTATTTCACTTACAATCTGGCTGCTGAAAGTGTCTCCACTTGGATACATAGCCAGTGGTTCTTCCCAGTGTGAATTCTTTCATGTGTTTTGCAATGACTATATGCAGTAAAAGCTTTGCCACATTGTTATGTACATAGGCTTTCTCACCAGTGTGAAGTCATTGATGTATTTTATAAAATCCATGTGTGGTGAAAGCTTTCACACATTCTTCACATACACAGAGTTTCTCAACCATGTAAATTTTATAATGTATTGGACAATGAGCATTTCTGCTGAAACCTTTCCCATATTCCTTACATATGTAAGTTTTCTGCCCAGTGTGAAGATTTTCGTGCATTATGCAATATGTACATGTGCTAAACCATTCTCATGATGCCTATATACACAGGTTTTATATTGAATGTGAACTTTCATGTTTCTTACAATCTCCCTATGTTTTAAAAGCTTTCCCACATTGCTTACATAACTATGGTTTCTCTCCAGTGTGAATTCTTTCATGAACCTTACAATATGCATGAGTGTTAAATGCTTTCCCACATTGCTTACATACATATGGTTTCTCTCCAGTGTGAATTCTTTCATGTTCCTTACAACGTCCAGGTCTGGTAAAAGCTTTCCCACACTGCTTACATACATATGGTTTCTCTCCAGTATGAATTCTTTCATGTTCCTTACAATGTCCAGGTCTGGTAAAAGCTTTCCCACATTGCTTACATACATAAGGTTTCTCTCTGGTGTGAATTCTTTCATGTTTCTTACAGTCTCCCAATGTGTTAAAAGCTTTCCCACATTGCTTACATACATATGGTTTCTCTCCAGTGTGAGTTCTTTCATGTGCCTTACAATATCCAGGTGTGGTAAAAGCTTTCCCACATTGCTTACATACATAAGGTTTCTCTCCGGTGTGAATTCTTTCATGTTTCTTACAGTCTCCCAATGTGTTAAAAGCTTTCCCACATTGCTTACATACATATGGTTTCTCTCCAGTGTGAGTTCTTTCATGTGCCTTACAATATCCAGGTGTGGTAAAAGCTTTCCCACATTCCTTACATACATAGGGTTTCTCTCCAGTGTGAATTCTTTCATGATTCTTCCAAGCTCCCTGTGTTTTAAAAGCCTTCCCACATTGCTTACATACATAGGGTTTCTCTCCAGTGTGAATTCTTTCATGTTTCCTACAGTCTCCCCGTGTGTTAAACGCTTTCCCACATTGCTTACATCCATACGGTTTCTCTCCAGTGTGAATTCTTTCATGTTCCTTACAGTGTCCAAGTTGAGTGAAACCTTTTCCACATTGCTTACACACATAGGGTTTCTCTCCAGTGTGAACATTTTCATGTATTTGAAAATGAATTTTACTGCTAAAAGCTTTCCCACATTTCTTACATATATGCGATTTCTGCCCAGTGTGAAGTTTTTCATGGATTACACAATAAGTACATGTGCTGAAAGCTTTCTCACAGTGCTTACATTTATAACATTTTTCTCTGGAGTGAAGACACTCATGTACTTGACAATATGTACATGTTGTAAAATCTTTCCCACACTGATTACATACGTAAGGTCTCTCTCCTCTGTGAATTCTTTCATGTTTCTTACAAATTCCATGTGTGGTAAAACCTTTCCCGCATTGCTCACATACGTAGGGTTTCCCTCCACTGCAATATTTTTCATGGATCTGAACATTGTGGTGTGTTTCTGTTTCTTTCACATTCACATTACCTTCTGCAGAACAAAGGAATACTTCTTTACACTGATTCCAAGATGTATGTCCATAAGATTTTCGTAGCTTGTCATTTCTGTAAAGAAAAAAAAATCACATATAGGATTTATAAGCATATTACTAAGCTTTTCTTGGAGAGTTGAACAAAACTGTTTGCAGTCTCACTGTTTGAATCCCCTCTTCATATGTTTCACTTTTGTATTTCATAACAATTTCTATGAGCAGCATATGTAATCATCATCTTGCAATTTCTTTCTGTTTATTTTCACTTTGAAAGCAATATTGTTCCTTTTTATTTTCTCTAATTTAATTTTCCTTATATTAAATTTAAAAAAAGAAAAATTCACAGTAAAATGGGTCTCCGTTTAATGAGTGCATTAATATCAAGTTCTGTTTTCAATGCCTGCTAAGAAATTCTGACCATGAAGCAACAGAATGGCCTTGTAAGATATGTTGAAAACAACCATTCCCAAAAGGATGGTACACATTAGGAAATCTTAAAAATTGGTGCTTTGAAATGCAGAATCTTTAGCTTCACTTTGGGCATGGGTGCATATGTGTATCAAATGCAGATTATTCTCATATGTTTCCCTATCACAATCTCCCTTCTGTCCTTAACCTGTAGTTCCCTTTTCCATATGGTCAGTCTTACTTTTCTCTAACAACTCTGTTTAATTTCATTCCACATTTTGTATTTTGGTTTCTCATCTAAAAGAAACCCTGTGACCTTTTAGGTTTTATAGCTAAGCTATTTCACTGAATTGATGGGTGAAAGACCCATCTAATTCTTTTGGCAAATGACATTATATTATTTATTTTTTGACATTATATAACACATTTTTTTCTTTTCTGGGCTGGGAATGAACAACAGGTATTAGCATAAATCTATAGCTTTTTAAAAATATATTTAAGAGATTTTCACTGAACATTAAGCTGTGAAGTTTGAACTTGAATTTGCCATTCTGCAAAATCTGATTTCTAGTGTGCTGGGTTTACAAGAATGCAGAATCACTAAGAGTCTATTTACATTTTCCTTCTCCACAAATCCAGTGATAGATAGATCTGCTTCAAGGCCTGATCTGTTATAACTTGATCTGCTTTATATATGAGTAAGCATGTATCAGTATTTTATGCAGATTTAGAGATTTTAAAAATATCCAGGACAAGTATGAGGGGATCAATTTCTAGAGACAACTGCATACTGATATTCAAAATGAAGTCACTAACAGTTCACCAGCCTACTAAGAATATTAATCAGAATTGCTGATTGTCTAGAGCATGGCTTGGAAACATGAGCACTCAGTTTTATTTCAAATTCTATTGCAATCTTAGCAATTGTTACATAATGAATGTGTTGTATTCACATGTATATATGGGTAGAAAAACTAAAGGCAGAATGTCACAACTCAAAGTGTATGCCTTTCTTACACATCTATATGCAGTGTCATACATTTTCATGATTTAATTCCCTCATATATACACTAGCTTATATATCTTCAGAGAATATTACTGACATTAAACTGAATGGTGCCTCACTTCTTTCGTGGTCATTTTTCTGCTGACTCACTAATTACTCAGGAACATTCCTCTCCTTGTGAGTGTGAATTACCTTAAGTATCTCCAGTAAATTTTGCCTTCTTTTTCAGCTTCATGGATATCCCCAAGTCCTCCTGAATTGTAGACATATAAATATCAGGACTCAGTTGAGTAATACATACAAATTAATAGATTTATGTTTAGATATAATGTTTCCATGTCTGAGCTATTTTTAAAAATATTTTCATATTCTTTTTAATGAAACAGCACTAATGAGCAACAAACAATATTCTGACAGCATGAGTGCCAAAAATATTTCATCCTTACCTATTGCAGCCATGTTCCTAAAGATTTCACCCATCACATCTCTGTAGAGGTTCTTTTGGGATGGACTCAGCAAACTCCACTCCTCATTGCTGAAGTTCACAATCACATCCTCAAAGGTCACCGCCTTCTAAAGGATCATATATATATATATATATATATATATATATATATATATTTCTCAAAGGAAGGTTGAGACCCCAGGTTTGGGATATCTTAAATTATCTCCTACAAATCTGAATCAAAAGCAAAGTGTGGTGGTGCATATCTATAATCCCAGCACTCAAAAGGCAGAGACAGGAAGCCATCAGTGAAGTCAGGGCAATTCTAGGCTCCATAGGATGTTCAAATCCAGCTGATATACATACAGAAAGCTTGTCTCAATAAAACAAAACTATACTAAACAAATAAAGCCAAACAAACAGCTGATTGAAGACTGATTTGTTAAAATTTAAATCCATGTCTTGGTCATTAATTTTGTGTCTATACACATTTTTGAAGACAGCCAATTTGATGCTAGATTGCAACTCACTGCTAAAGTAACAGCCAAATAGGAGCACTGATTCTTGTGCTGAGTCATGGCAAGATTCCCTGTGCACTTTCTCTAAAGCAGAGCTCACAGTGAGAAGTCTGTAGGACAAGCAACCACAAAGCACAAAGGCAGATAAATATCTCATCAACTGACTGGGAAGCCAAGCAAGCACCTCCCCTCCCTGGTCAGCAGTGGTGGTTTGGCAGACTGCAGCCCTTCCAGGGGGAAAACCAACAGCAGCTCCTGAGATGCATGCCATGTTGGAATTTAGGACACTGGGAAGCCAAGCAAGCACCACTTCTCCCTGGTAAGCAGTGGCAGTCTGGCAGAATGCGGCCCTTCCAGGGGGAGAACCAGCAGCAGCTTCTGAAATCCATGCCATGTGGGAACTTAAGACACTGGGAAGCCAAGCAAGCACCTCCCCTCCCTGGTGAGCAGTGACAGTCTGGCAAACTGCAGCCCTTCTATTGGGAGAACCAGCAGCAGCTCCTGAGATCCATGCCATGTTGGAACTTAGGACGCTGTGAAACCAAACAACCAGCCTGTCTCCCTAGTAAGCAATAGTGAACCTACTGATGCACCACCTAAAATCAAACATCCCACTTCCCTACCCCTCTTCAACGGTCACCCCACATTAGCAAATGGTAACCAGAAATCTGAGCGTCTCCTTTGAAGTAGACCATAGCAAATAAGGGGGACTTCCTTGTACTATCTCTTTGAAGAAAAATGTTTTTATTATTGTTTCACTCTATTCTGATTAATGGTACTGCTCTATTCAATATTCTGTTGTGATAAGTTCTATAGTGTTCTGTATTTCATCTCATTTTGATATGTGATTAAAGAACAACTATTACAAAGATAACAAAATATACTGTGATACCTATTACTATTATCCCAGTAACCTGTTGTGAAGTTGTGTAACAATTTCACTGTATGATCTTAGTTGGCCTTATGCTGCCTTGTTCTGTTGTATCTTGCCAATTTCAAAATTAAATAAAAAATCTCATCAATCACTTTGATAGACTACAGATGATGTCTCTTCAAATCTCATTTAGGCCAATGAGTACTTTGTTCTTAATATACTTAAGTAGCATTTGGAAACATTAATTTGGTTTCATAGAACAAAACATAAGTAACATCAAATATGGTACATAAATAATAACTCAAGTGTTAGTGGAAAACAGCTGTATTTTAAAAATATGTATATAAAATGAAACCAGGCCCAAGCTGTAAATTATACCTCACTGTCACCAAGTGATCACTTTCAATTCAAATATAAGAAATATATCTTGGGAGGCTGGTGAAGTAGTTCTTCCTTGAATTTGGGGCTATCCTAAGTTACAGAGCTGTCTAAAATAGACAATCCCTGACTGAGACACTGAGCAAACCAAGTGAAACTTAAAAAGAGATGGCATAAGACATCTTTGGTTTGTTTTAAAACATTATAGGCATACAATACAGAAAAATTCCAACAATACTCAACACTTTCTGAGAAACAATGTGGATATCTTCCATACTACACAGAAAACACTTTCATAGTTGGGTATTTAGCTCAGTGGCAAGAACACCTGCCTGGAAAGCATAGGTCATGCGTTTGGTCCTTAGTACAAAAAAAATTCAAATTTCACCTTCATGACACTGGGGAATAATTAGAGATAATCAAAATTAGATCTCAAGTATGGACCACAAAAATCATGGGTTTACAGGGATGTGGAATACTGATTGTTGCCAGAGCTGGTGTTGATCACCTCAAAGAAGCAATCAGAACACAACTTTACTTCATACTTACTCTAAGAACTACCTGACTTTCAGTGAAGACCCTCTCTGTTGTATGTCCTGCTATTTGCTTCCTGCATTCTGTCAGTCACTTCCACATGCTTTCCACACTCCTCTGATCCATCCTAAGCAGAAAACCCTTCATGCCTATCTATTGATATCACTGCAAAATTTATAATTAGGGCTTCACCTTTACACCACTTAGATAAGTCCATTGCAGAGCATCTCTATATTTAAATTGTCTATGAACAACCAAGCTACTAAATCAGCTCTTAATTCAGAGATAACACCACTATTCCTTTTCATTTAGAAGGATATCACATGTATATGTCCATGCAAATGTCTAAATTTTGGAATTTTTCTATGAGAATTTAAAAGGTAGCCCTTTCTGGAATTTGTCCTTCACAAATATTTACCCTGCCTTAATAACATTTTGATATTGTTTCATTTTTCTCAGACTTCAAAACTCTATGGCTTTTCTCACAAACCTAGTCTGTGAGCCGAGGTGCCACCTAAATTATTAAGTATGTTCAGAAATTATTTTGCACTGATCTGTATAAAACACAGGAGTTTGGGAAGCCTTTCTCCACTGGGGCACACTACTACACATCTCTGAATTCTCAGGACCTTTGCCACTACCTGTCATGAGGATGGAAATGTGAGAACATACTATAAATGGAGGAGATCACTATAAATACAAAAAAAGCCCAAGTTTAAGTTGAGCCATTGTGGCTATGAGGCCCTGCATTACAGACATTAATAAACTCTGGACATTCTAGATCTGCTACTCTGAGGAAAGAGAGTATAGACCTAGCTCATTACTGCTGTACAAGCTACAAACCATCATAGTCAGAGTCTTCCCAAGCTTCTTCCAATGCCTAAGATGGTGGAGTTACCAGGCTAGCAATGAATTTCAAAGATGATACTTGAGTCTACTGCTGTCATAGTGAAGCCAGGGTACTGGGGACCCCAAATCACCCTTGCCAAAAGCAAGAGGCAAAAGTGACAGTAAATGACCCATGGTCAATGCTGGAGGACCTCAGGAGCTGAAGCTAACTAAATACCTGAGGCTCCAGACACCACAACTACTCCTAAATACTTCTAACGGGTTTCACCCAATCCACCCTATTTCTGGGCTTCCATCCACAAGCTCACTATTCCATGGTTCCAGGATCTCTCAGGTTCTTTGCTAATCAGGCCACAGGACCTGAAAAGTACTAAATGAGATCCAGCAAGCATTTTGCTACCACTATTGTACTCAGAACAGATAAATCATGCTGAGACACTGGAAGAGACAGAAGTCACAGCCAGCAATGGCCCACCTGATTGGACAGTTCATATAGCCTGCCCCTTCATCACTGATTGACTCCTCCTTCTGAGTCAAGAAAAAACAGAGAAAGGAACTCCCTGCAAGAGAGGATCCCAAATGATAGACTATAGTGCAGAGACTTCAGCAGCTGCCATTCTTCTACAGTGGTGAACTCAGCTCGATAGAGGAGTGTTTGTACTAAAGAGCTTTACCTCAGGCTTTTAATTTTCAAATCCATTTTATTTCAAGGAAAAAAGAGCACATCAACTAAAATTGAATTTCAAAACATGTCAATCAGGGGGCAACACTGGTATATACATTGCACATTGTCATCCCCAGATCATTCACCCAGAGCACAAGACATCTCTAATCAAAAAAGTACTGTTACTAAGGCACCTGAGTTACTTAAATACTCTTGGCATGAACCAAGGCTAGGTCCTCCAAGTAGCCCATGCAGGGGACCAGACACCTTGCAACTATGGGGAAGACTGACACCTCATGCTATGGGCCAAGGCTCAAGACAATGATAAGCAAATTCATCCATATTCTAGGGATAGATATTCTAAATAGTTCCCTAGCACTCTGAGGAAGTCAGGAGTCACCACTCAAATAAATGTATCCTTATCCTGAAGAGTGACATTCTAAATAGTTCCTATCATATGGAGGAACTCAGAAGTCACCCTCCCAAACCCCTAAGGGAAGAGTCACAGCTGCCTAAGAATGCCTGCTGTCTATGTGACTCCCTTCCTGCTTTGTACCCAAATTAATCAGCTTTACCTGAACTTAATAATCCTATTGGGTACCATAGCTCTTTCCCACCTTATGCCCATCTGCATTGTGAGTTACTAGTTTTCCCCACCTTAAACTCATTTCACCACATGAATTTACTCTATAAAGGTCCCTAGAAAGGACAGTGTTTGGCAACCTGATCAGGACCCCTTCTCTCTCTCAGGCAGCTTTCTTTCTCTCAATAAGTACATTCTTTATTTTGATTTCTTCATTCCAAGCAAAGGATGTACTTCAAAGTGTTTTACCTTAGAAACAATTACAGGACCTCATGGTGGTAGTTCAAAGTGGAAGAATGTAAAATCAGGGATGCTTACTCATTTGCCACTTCCTCTTTTCTCCTTAATTACAACTTCCTCTTTCTTTCCCAGGGGCCTAAAGAAAATTCCTGTCAGCTCTCGCATGACATCAATCTCCCCTCCAAGCACCACATCCAGTCAAAAGTCACACATACCCCATAACCCCATAGTCAGTCGGAAAAAAAAAAAAAAGCCAAACCCTTAGTGCTGTGGGCTCCTCTCCACATTCTTTAGGTAAAAGGCCACTTTTACATTTCTTATATTCTGCTTCTCTACTGTGCTAATTTATCTCCTCAGCAACTTCAGTAATCTAATCCATTTTAAACCTATCTCACCACATGATTTTATTCTATAAAATCCCTAGAAAAGACAGAGTCCTTTGCTACCAGCTCAGAACCCCTCCTGTTTCTCCCAGACAGAAGCTTTCT